TATAAAAACAGGAGAGGAGTAAATTCTTATGCTACTCTGGATTCTTTCAGTGACCAAAAAGGTTATCTGTTAAACTGAATTTGCTATAAGATGTTATTGACTTAATGAGTCATATCTCTACCAAGGAATATGTGATTGACTATTGTAGTTGATTTTTACCAGTCATCAAACATTTATTGTTTGCCAGGCCTATGTCGGACTCTGAGTGACACAAAGACAGGTAAGACAGGGACCTGGCCTGTGAGAGATTCTGGAATTAGACCCTGATGTCAATATCTGCAGTAACTCCTTACACTGGGTAGAGTGCTTTATTATAGATAAAGCAGAGATACCAAGGATCAGAGAGAAGATGTGGCTGTCCCAGAGCAGAGTCAGGACTTTGAATCTACGTATCCTAACATCTAGTTCAATGCCCTTTCTTTTTAATCATTCTTTCTTTTAGAATATGTCACTTTAAAAAGAGGATACTCACAAATGGAGGCATCTTAGGCACTGTGCCACCTGAATGGGAGAGGTAATTTTTAGGCAGGTAGGCTTAGCTGAGTTCTCTCAAATTTAAGGCAGCTACTCATTCCTTTCACTTGTGCCAAACAGCTCAACCCTTATCCCTTAACCTTACCAGGGTACGCAGTTTTATGTAATGATATGCCAATTCCTGCAAAATCAGTTTCCACTAACCCTGACCTCTTCCCATCTAGACCCTCTTTTGTGATCCTGCCTTTTCCAGCCACTCCATGATTTTCCTTCTGATTTCCTTTTCTTTACGGTATATAGAGCCACGCCTGGCTCTTTCTTCTTTCTGATGTGCTTTCTTCCTCCTCTTTAAAACTGACCATTTACTTTTCTTTCTGACCCTGTGTAATATTTTCTTTTTCTTTTCGGAGAAATTAGCCTGAAAGGGAAAAACATGTTTAACTGACTGCTTTCTGCTTTCTATACCTAAGAATGATTTATTATATGATTTATTCAAGTATAAAGAATTGAAAATAAATATAATGCAAACATGAAAATTTGGAATATTCTTCATAATTATTACAAAAGCACTATAAAGACTTTTGTAATTTTCTTGTAAGGATTATTACTATATAATATCAGAAAGTCTGAGGAAGGTCACATCAGGTAAGTGTTCTGTAAGAAATGCAAATGTAATATCGGGGGGCTGATTAGCCTTTATGATGACTACTGAGTTAACATTCAAAAATCAATAAATACTGAATTAGCCCTTAATATATATAGCAGGCAATCTATGAAAGTTACCTTATATGGAAAAACATACAACCTTCAGCTTGATTCTTTCTATAGAAGCATTTGATGGCACAGACCTGCTAACCTAAGCATGCTCTTTTAATAAGATAAACAGGTATTCAGGGATGTCTCACACATAATTCTAGAGGAACTTAAAAATCTTCTTAATAAAATCTTAGTAAACAACAGGATATGTACATAAATGTCATAGTTTACTTACCTTTCCATCAAAACGTTTTATTATATATTGATCTAGACCCAAGTCTATAAAAGAGAAGAAAAAAATATTTAGCAACTGATCATAACTCAAGTAAAATATATAAAATGACAGCTCTCAGCTTTGTTTCTAGTCATTCAATTAAATGTACTAGATGGTTTAGCCACACTTACTCAAAAGCCACAGGATGAATATTTTGCCCCACTTTCAGACTCAAAGTGTCAGATAAAAGATACCAACCCATTTATCTTACATATAAGAAAAGTAAGGCTCTGAGAAGGTAAACAGGATAAAAGTTGCACATGCAAGCCTACTCAACAGCAGAGCTTCCAACTAGAACTTTGGACTCCTCCCAGGTTGGTAGTCTTTTCATTACACCAAGGTGCTATGTTACCTCTAATTAAGGTGGAGGATATTAGCTTAATCTGAATGTATAGTATTAATTTTTTGTATCAAATTAAAAGAGTACAATACCAAAAGAACTATTGCAACACACCTAAACAGACACAAATAGATCATCTTAATATTATCTTTTAAAGTTGGGTTAAGTAATAAATATTTACTTGGGAATACCTAGCTTTGAATTCTGAGCAATGTGAAAGATATAAGTAAATATATTCAGTGGACTTGAGGGCAGGGATTTTTTGTCATTGCATACTGCTTTATCCCTAGCACTTGGAACAGGGCTTGATCAATGAATATCTACAAAAGAATGAATGAATAAGATATAGTTCTTGTCTTAAAGAGTCACAGTTTACTTTGAAAGACATATGGATATAATAATTAACATTACAAGGGAGCACACAATTAGTTCAATAAGAGAGTGGTATGGGAGATTTGAGAGTGGAGAAATCAGTTTCCAATTATACTTACTTTCTTGCATATTAGCTCCTTTCCTTCTGTTCTCACTGTACTCATGCTAGTTCAGGCCATTATCTCATAATGCCCACAGTATTACAATAATCAGATTATCATGGCTCCCTGAAGGAGCTTTTTGCATTTCTACTTCTATACATTTGGTTACACATTCTCCTTATCTGAAATGTGCTTCATCGTCTAGAAGCCAGCCCTAAATGAATTGAGCCATTTGACTGTAAGAGAAACGAATAATTCTGGAAACAGAAAGAAATTTTTAAAAAATAACTCTAATTTGAAACTCCACAGATACTCAAGAAAATATCAGTCATAAAGGCAGCATAGGTTTCTAGGATGAAAGAGTAGAGAACAAGAAAGAGTTCTAGATAATTAAATTTAATTGCCTATCTCCCCTATTTTTTAATATACTGTCAAAAGATGAGGAAAAGGTAACCCCTCCCAGACTACTTTCAATCCAAGAGGTTTGTTATCCTACAGAACCTTTTCTCATTCAGAAATAGGGAGGAAATAATCCAAAAAATATTATCAAAAACTTTCTCAGAACTAAAGAAAGAACTGAAGAACTTACCAAGTGTTCTAAGAAAGATGAGCAAAAACTACCTATACTTCAGTGTATGCTTATTAAATTTCAGAATACCAAGGATAAGAAATTCCTAAAAGCTTCCAGAAAAAAAACCTTTCTGGTTCCTTATGAAGGAATGAGAATCAGACTTGAATCAGATGTCCTGTAAGTAAAACTTGGTACCTCAACCAAGGGAGATACATGCATACTAACTGGAGCAGCACTGTTTAACAGAAAAATAATGTGAGTAACAAATGCGAGTCACATGTGTAATTTAAAATTTTCTAACAACCACCTTTAGAAAAGTAAAAAGAAAAAAATATGAAATCTTGTCATTGGTGGCAACACAGATGGAACTGGAGAACATTACATTAAATGAAATAAACCAAAACAGAAAGTTAAACACTGCATGTTCTCACTCATGTGGAAGCTAAAAAAAGTTGATCTCATGAAAGTAAAAGGTAGAACAGAGGATACTAGAGGCTGGGAAGCAGTAGGGGAAATGGAGGGATAGGATACAAAATCACAGCTAGATAGGAGGAATAAATTCTAGTATTTGGTAGCACTGTAGGATGAGTTAACAATAGTTAACAATAACATGTTAAATAGTTTCAAATAGCTAGAAGGAGGATAGTAAATGTTCCCAGCACAAAGACAACAGTAAATGTTTGAGATGACAGATATGCTAATTACCCTGATCACTATATATTATATGTATCAAAACATCACTAGGTACCCCATAAATATGCAAAATTTTATGTCAATTAAAAAAATAAAATAAAATTTTAAAAAGATCAAAATAAGATTAATTTTAATATTATATTTAACTGAATATATCCAAGATAGTACCAAAAAATGTAAAACATCATCATTAATATTTTGATAACTCCTTAAAATGATGCTAAGTTTTGAAAATCTGGGATATATTTTGTAATTCCAGTACATCTCAATTCAAACTCACCACATTTCAGTGCTCGATAGGCACACATGGCTACTGTATTAGATGGCACAGATTTTAACATATTAGAGTAATACCCAGAAGAACTAAAACTTAACTTAAAATTTTAAAAGTGGTTGATTCTGTGACATGAACTGGAGGGATGGATAAGATGGAACAGATTTATGTTTTTCACTTTATGTCGTACGTTACAGTTTCAAAAATAGTTTACTGTATGCATTTGTGAAAAAGTGAGAGGGCATGTAAGGACAGCCTGGCTCTTACTAATAATTCCTGTCATTTATAAGCAAATACTGACATGGAGTAGGCCAATTTCATAATTTCTATTTGAAAGATAATTATTTTCACCTTATTATATTTTTATTTCTCTACCTGCCAACTAAAGTAGAAGAGTGGGTTAGATCAGTTCTTAAAATGGTTGGAAGCGGAGTGTGGGAAATATGGATGAATGAAGTAATTCAAGCTATCCTTACTCACTATTCCTCTAGAGATTCTAATAGGCCCAATTAGTGAGGGTAGGGAGAACATGGAGAATGAAAGGAGAAAAAATAGCAAGTGTAGTTTGAAAATGATACTCAGATGACTTTCATATGAAATGGTTTCCCTTTCATTTCCCTACCCCACCCCTGTGGTCCCAGCTTAGAAACACTGGATGCTAGCAATATTGATATCCCTAAAGTGATTCCTATTATTCTTAAACTTTTCTTCAAACAACTTTCATATTCATTTAATGCACATACTGTGGGGAAAAAATGCACATAGTGTGACATAAATACTATCTTCTTTTTATGAATGAAAAGGCTGAGGCTTAGAGAAGGGTTAAATGACTGTTTTCTGACTTTAAGTCTAACAATCTTTTAATTATGGCAGTTGTCTCTTTTCTTGGGTCCACACCAAAAATAATGTAAAAGTACATAAATACTGAAAGAATAGTCTCATTTTAAGCCTTGGAGTGAACACGTAAAAGGAGACTTGTTTTAAAGACAATAGCAACTGATTTTGTCAAACTCATTTTGTCAAAAGACAAAAGAGCAACTGAGTCAAATACATAATTTCAAGATCCAAAAATTAGAGTTTAGAAAAACAGAAATCGAATAATTTTAGCTAAGAAATCTTAGCTATTGCTCAAAAATTTAGAGATTCATTTTTTAACATTTGAATTTATCTTAAAAATTTATTGAAATGAGCGTATTTTCAGCAATGGAGGCTAATATAAGCTAGCAAAAGAAAGTATAGTTCTATTTTATCAGATATGATATTACAGTCACTTGGATTTATCTTCTGTCTTAATCACTGTAATAAGTCATACTACTTATTGAGCACTTTTTGGTTTTATTTTTATTTTAAATTTTATTTATTTTTTCTTTCTTCCATTTCTTTTTTATTTGTAGATATTCATGGGGTACATGTGCACTTTTGCTATGTTGATTTATTACACTGTGGTGAAGTCAGGGTCTTCAGTACATCAATCACTGGAGCAACACACACACTGTATTTACCAAGCAACCTGCCCTCACCCACCCTCTTGCCACCCTTCCAAGCCTCTGTTGTCTTTCACTCCACTCTGCTTCCATGTGTACACATTATTTAGCTCCCACTTACCAGTGAGAACATGCAGTATTTATCTTTCTGTCTGAGTTGTTTCACTAAATATAATGGCCTTCAGTTCCATCTACGTTGCTGCAAAAGACATGATTTCACTCTTTTTTATGACTAAATAGTATTCCATTGTGTACATATACCACATTTTCTTTATCCAATTCTCAGATTAATTACATATCTTTGGCATTATGAATAGTGCTGTGATAAACATATGAGTGCAGGTATCTTTTTCGTATATTGATTTCTTTTCCTTTGGGTAGATGCCCAGTAGAGGGACTACTGGATAATCCGGTAGTTCTATTTTTAATTCTTCACAAAATCTCTATACTGTTTTCTGTAGAAGTTACACTAATTTACATTCCCACCACCAGTGTATAAGAGTTCCCTTTTCTCCACAGCCTCACCAACATCTTTTATTTTTTGTCTTTTTAATAATAGCCATTCTGATTGGTGTGAGATATCTCATTTTGGTTTTAATTTGCATTTCTCTGATGATTACTGATGTTGAACATTTTTTCATATGGTTGTTGGCTATTTTTTGAAAAATGTCTCTATATCCTTAGACTACATTTTCATGGGGTTATTTGGGGTTTTTTTGTTGTTGAGTTGTAAGTTCTGGATATTAGTCCCCTGTGAGATGTATAGAGCCAACTTTTTGTTTTGTTGATCCTTTGCATTGTTGTGTTTTTTTTTGTCTCTACCACATTTAATGCTACTCTGATCTTCATTATTTCTTTTCTTCCAATAACTTTGAATCTGGTTTGTTCTTGTTTTTCTAGGTCCTTGAGGTGGGACATTAGATTGTTAAATTGTGATCTTTCTACTTTTTTGATGTACGTATTTAATGCTGTCAGCTTCCTTTTTAGCACTACCTTTGCCGTATCTCATTTTTTTTGGTATGCTGTGTTTTAATTTTCATTCATTTCAAAAAATTTTTAAATTTCCATCTTAATTTCTTCATTGACCCAGTGATCATACAGGAGCATGTTTAATCTGCACATATTTGCAAAGTTCCTGAAGCTCCTCTTCGTATTGATTTCTAGCTTTAC